GCTGTCCTTTGCTGTGTACTTCCAAGAAATCCAGGCAGGCAATGCGAAAGGCATTAATTCTCAGTATTTTAGAAAGGTAAACTCTTCCCAATGCTTATTCTCAAGTTAATGAGTCCTGTGAGTTATTACACAGAGGCTACAAAATAACAAAAGAATCAGACCTAAAATTTGCTTTGAAGAGCTCTAGAGACATCTGTCATTTGACTAATTCTTTTAAAAAGCCAAGGGCATAATATTGAAAGTAATTCAGTAGAGATTTTTCTTTATAAGTAAGTAATTGAGAGATTTATTTATTCTCTGTGGAAGAGGGGTATCTTTAACTTGAGAGAAAGACCTAATTGGACAGAAGTTCTACAAGCTAGCTACAGGCACACAGATGATTGTGCTATCACTGAGCAGATCATTGAGCAGAGCTACGTGGAGCTAAATAGGCAGCAACACAGGATGGGGACAGGAGACATTTTTATGTTCCAAATCTTTGCTTGCTTTACTGGATTCCTTTAATAATCAATCAAAGCTCTCATAATAGAATTCAAGGCTGAAATGTTGGACAGCTGGCTAAGGATCAGTTACTCTACATTGTCGAATAGAGAGAATAGTGCCAAGGATACATTCTCTAACACATGGCACTAAGAACTTGGCTGGGAAAATTTAGCATTCTGGGTCATTCCATGTGTAAGTTGATGACTCACATTCTTTTCCTTTGTTTTACCTCAGCTGACATAGAAAAATGTGCACAGAAATAAAGTGCTCCATACATGTTTCTTACTTTAATCTTGCCAAATATATTCTAATATGACAGGATGTGCAAAAGCAAAAACCATAGATGATTGATTCATTTGCATGTATATGTGAGTATGGATCTATGTATATCTGCATATACACATACACATATGTATCTTATTGAGTGGATTAATTGCTTAAGTGCTATCTTAAGCAGGATTGTAAAAATAAACTTGGAAGTCTGTTTAAGAGACTGGATTGGCAGTATTGTAGTTGGATTGCCAATCATAAACACATAGGCATTTTTCAACTGAGAGACTTGTAAGAGCAGAATTATTATGATGCATTTGTTGTCCTTCTTTTTCCTGTCCTAAGGTTTTAATGTCACTTGCCATTGTTTATAAAGCAACCACCTGCTCAATTACATTCTTGAATCTCTGTCAAAAAACTTATCACACAAGTGAAGTAAGGTTTGTAGGCATCATTTTGGAACAGAAGGGCATTTGAAACCAAGAATAAACTGTATGCTACGGTAAACAAATATTGTGCTGACTTTTGCATAGTCACAAAACCCAGAACAGATTAGTCAAAGAACTTTCTGGAAGCTGACAAGCTTATAAAAGCAGTCCTAAGGAAAAATTTTCTGCATCCTGCATGTATAATAAAGTTACAGTGTGTCACTTGCTGTATAAATTGTCACTATTACCATTTGGAGCAGAAAAAAACTGTACATATATAAAGATAAATGTGTGCATAATTTCATATTCCCAGAGGAAACTGAAAAATTATTTGCATTAAGAAGTGTTTTAATTGCAACAGGAAAAATGGCATTTAATGGTTTATGATGTGGTTCACAATCCTATAAGGGTAAATCAAGTAAAAAGGCTGCTTGGTATAATGGAGAAAAAAAATTGACCTTTGGAAATACCAAGGCCTGGGTACAAACTCTGTCATTTCCTAGACCTTCTCAATTCCTTCAAAACTTGCTTTTCCTATCTGTAAAAGAGATTATATATATTTACAGTATATATCTTCTCCCTTTCTCTCTCTATAGATACATAGTTATAGAAAATAGATAATAGATATTATGTATAGTATGTTATATATGCAAAATAATAATACTATCTGTCTAATATATATTGCAGAGTTATTTTGGGTCAAATTATGAAGTCAAATTATGAATCAATTAGAACACCAAATGTAGACACTGTCCATTTATGGATGATCATATCAGACAATATAATGAAGCTCTTTCAATACCCTTTAAGAGTTAATATGGAAATTCAATATACGTATTTTCAGTTCTCAAATTCTATGCTTATCTGACCATAAGAGACAGGAAATAAATCTTCTCTGAAGATAAACTAACAACAACAAAAATAACAAAAAAAATCCTACTCTAGAATGTTGTAGAAACAATGTTTAGGCTTCAGAGCATTTCCATATATTATGTGGGAGAGGGGGATGGTTATTTGTTTTGTTTTGTTTTTCCCAGTCCTGAGGCTTGAACTCCATGGCCTTGTATGGGCTCAACATTTTTGCTAACAGCTGGCACCTTACCATTTGAGTAATGCCTCCAGCCCGGTTTTCTGATCAATCTCTCTATATTGTTGCCTATACTCATGAGAAATCTTCATTAGTTTTTGTAGCATTTGTTTTAAGAAGTAACAAGCTCTGTGCTGGCATGCATATCATTATTTCACTGCCTGAAATATATACCCTACATTGGAAGACCAATTCAAATATTTCTCATTCACAGAACCTTTTTGTGCTTATTCTAATCCGTGGCTTTGCATTTAGCCTGAGAACAGCTTGGAGGCTGTTTGTGGACAACAGTTCTCCTTATTTAGCACTGCTTGGCAGAGCAAGTTCTCATCCATCATTATAAATGGGATGAGGGCCTCTTAGGGATTAGAGAACTATACTGGGATTGCCAATTGAAAATGTTTTCTTTCTTTACTACCAGCAAAACTTCCATTTCCATCTCAATTGTTTATTTAAGTGACCAATCTTTTATCATTCTGATAAGCTAGTCTTGTGGAGACTATTAAAACTCATTTTCCGGGCTGGGAAGGTGGCTCAGTGGTAGAGCACTTGCCTTGCATGCCTGAGGCCCTGAGTTCGATTCCTCAGCACCACATAAGCAAAAAGAAAAAAGCCAGAAGTGGCGCTGTGGCTCAAGTGGTAGAGTGCTAGCCTTGAGCTGAAGAGCTGAGGGACAGCGCCCAGGCCCAGAGTTCAGGCCCCACAACTGGACCAAAAAAAAAAACACCAAAAAACTCATTTTCCATTATCAAAGGCCCCCCAACAAAGACCTAGTACATTTGCATGTGGCTCCATACAGACTTTCAGGGCCTTAAACACACCATAGCCATAATATCCTCTTGAGATGAGCCAGACCAGTGAAAGGGAAATGATTTTGCTGGGCTCTTCCCTTTGTTCTCCAGACCCACCCCAATCCCTCCCTTTCAGTTCTATCCTTGGAAGGCAAGCTATAAAATCCACTCACACAATTCCCTTTCCATTGGCTTCTACTTTCCATTTCCCTTTCCATTTGGCCAACAGTGCAAAATCATAGATTCAAGGTTTGGATGACATTGATACTGGGTATCTATTCTTGCTACTCCCTATCAGGTGCCATTTTACAATACTCCCAGATGCTAGTAAACATTTCCTCCCTTTGTTTTCTTAGGTCAAAAAATTATGGTAGAAATAGATCTTCTGCTAATCTTAGTCTGCTACTATCTATTATTGGCTTTGTGAAATCCAGTCTGTGCCATAGAGAACTGCCCCTTGTTAACTCTCTCAAATAATACAAGTTTGATCGTGTCATTTGGTTCCTGCGAGGACCCAAACTAAGTCTTGAATCAACCTCTAAACATCAGGAAAATAGCCACTCTGGGCCTGAGTATCATGGCTTGCTATAACAGAGCTATTGCAGGAACAGCGGCAGTGAATAAACAGTAGTTTCTTCACTAGTAAAGTGTAAGAGCTACTGTTCTGATCTCTTAGGTGGTAGGAAACCAACTAGAGTCAGTCATCCAATCAATCAGGGAATAAGGAGGATTTCAGTAAGAAAATGAAAACACGATTGAGCACTATGCCAGAAGATAAATCTGGTTGAATATTTTATAATCTTATACGAATATCACAACTCCACTGAAATTTTATCTTTTCTGCTCCTGTCATCACTGAAACACATCATTAAATAAGTAGGGAGAGATGAGAAAGATTGAATTTCAATGAAACAGCTGAGGGAAATGAGTATACATTGCAATGAACATAGATAGCACTGAGGCACAGAACCTCAGTAACTGTATTCTGGGTTATGCTTTCTTACTGCATTTTATATAATAGATGTGTAGGGGGTGTACATTTATTTAAAAATAAACAATTCAGGGAGTACTAACATCCCTGTTAATGTGTGATTTGCCTTATTTTTTCCCTAAGAACATTTATATCAAAAAAACAACAAGAGGTTAGAGACTTGACTCAAGTGTTAGAACACTTGCCTAGCAAACACAAGGCCCTAAGTTCGCACTCCAATAATGAAAAGAAAAAAGAAAAGGGAACCAAGCAGCTAAAAGTATTAGCCAGAAAAAGCACAAATCTAGAAGCACTAGATTTTCACTCAACAATGGGCTTCTCTTTTCAATTTAAAAGCTTCTTCTAAAATATTAATTATCTGAAGGCTTGGTCCACAGTGCAGCATTGTTCAAGGGGTGAAACTATGGGAAAATGATTGGACCATGAGGGCTCTGATCTCCCCAGTGGATTAGTCCACTAATGGTTCAAATGTGATGGGCTATTGGAATGGAACCTTAGGAGGTCACCGAAGCAAGTGGGTTCTTGAAGGCTTGCCCTTGGCTGTATGGCTTGTTCCTGGCCCCTTCCTCTTGCTCTGTTTCCTGGCCTTCATAAGCTGAGCAGAATTATTCTACCACATACTCTTCACCATGATGTTCTGCCTCACCAAAGCCCATATACAACAGAGCCAGTGACCATGAAGGGAAACCTCTGAAAGCATTAGCTAAAATAAATCGTAGCTCTTTTAAGCTGATTTTTCTCAGGTATTTTGTCATAGCAATGAAAAGCTGCATCACACAACACTAAATTACGTATTTCTTCTGGTGATCTCTCATCTTCCATAGTCCTAAAAATCTTCTCTCTATGGCAGTGTTCTCTCATTTGCCCAAGAAAGCCTTTTACTTTACCTTCTTCATGTACTTATACTCACCTTTCTTAGGTTATTCTTCTCTTTTTCTTTCTCCTCTTCTTCCTCTTCCTCTTTTCTTCCTCCTCCTGTTCCTCAACTCTCTGCTTCTCTCATTCAAGGACACTTCAAAAGGAAAAAAAAATTTTTTTTAAAGTTCAGCTGAAAAAGGACATGGAAATCTCATCCATATTCTATACCCATTTCCAGACCATAAAACTCCTTATTGGCAAAGTGTTCCTTGATAGTGCCTAAAATAGCCCCTTTAACTTGTGTTTAAAACAAATCACATATCGAATGTCCTTTTTTTTGTTTCTTGTTGTTTGAAAATGACATGTAACCACAGACACTGAAAGAGTAATTCTTATCTTTTTTTTCTCTTTCTCTAAAAATGGGTGCAAGGACTCTTCTCACTAAACGTGGCTAATAAAGACTTGACTATTTTGATACAAAAACCACCTATGGGAGGTGAGAGGACTACAGACCCTACTTAATATATGTAGTATGCCAGATAGAGAGCACACTGTAGTCCATGCTGGCTTCATAACCAATGATGTCCAAAGACTTTGAGTCCACGGAATCACAATGCTAGGCAATTGTTCTTAACCATGCGTGATAATCACTGCAGCAGTGAGCACAGGCACTATGTTTCGGGGCCTTCACCTCTTTCCCACTCACCACAGCTGCCCACCATACTTTGTACAGGAATTTGTACACACTTTGTAAGTGAATTTGAATAAGGGTGACTTTGCTCTGACTCAACATACTAAAGTCCATTCCCTTCACTCGAAAACAGCAATTTCCATTTACCCTTTAGTGCCTGGGCTTGGGCAGCAGGTAATTATCCAAACTCAAGGGCTGTGAAGCCTCAAATTAGCACATTTACTACAGTATATGATTCATCTTCAAAGAACTCTCCCATCCGAAACTAATTAACCCTCCACATATGGCTGTGAGGTAAGTGGGGTGCAGTCATGCCAGGATATAAGGAGGAAATTGGGGATGGGGTGGTTACAGGTTGTACCAAAGGTTATTAAGGTTGTTTTCAGGGGAATGAAGTCATCATTCAGCAATTCTACATTTAGTTTGAAATTCTACATTCACACTCTGGAATCCGGATCTATAAGCCACATTTTGCCTATCTTTAGTTCTACAGATTTGGGGAAGGTGTAGACAGAGCCTAGCAGATCTAATCATTTCAAAAGGAAGGAAAAAAGCATTGCCATTTTCCCCTCTGCTAAACACTACTATGTATTTCCATAATAATTTAGCATCAAAAGCCACTGTCCTAGATCCTTTCCAGTGAGATGTATTGCTAAGTTGATTTGGTACTATTGCCTAGAAACAAGTGGACAATGAAACAACTTCAATTATCTTCTTGGGGAGCACATGGTAAGGCTTATTCTCTTGTCCCCAAAGCCACATTCGCTTGCACTGTCAGCCTTAGGGCTAAGGGTCACTGTCTCTCCAGTCCTGTCAACTGCTTAGAGCAAAATGATGGAAAGCCTCCTTGACACACTTGACCCTGACCCCTCCTCTCCACAGCCCACTTCCTATCTCTGATCACCTTCCCATAGCAAGGGTAGACAGAAACATTTCACCCTTCTCTACTGTAGGCCTTTCTGATTTTGCTGGAATAACCAAACTTTAATCACATCCATTTAACCATATCCATTTTTCCTTGGCTCCTTTTCCTTTTTCCACCTGCCCAGGTTTCAAGCTTTTAGGTTTCTATCATTTCTTCTCCTGACTATGCTATTATATAGTATAGCATACTTTCCTTAAGGATCACTCTCAAGCTCACACTGTCAACTCTCATTTCTGTATTGCCAGTTTCCAAGACACCAGGCCTCTCTTCACTTGAGGCTGTGTTGAAACCTCAGTTTTCTGCCATTTTTATATAACGTGAAGTGAGTAGGTAACTTAATATTTAATTTAGGGGATGTAGTCCTAGTAGATATTAAAATACTCTAACACTGTAATCATTAAAACAGTACAGCACTAGCATATAAATAGTCAAAGGGAACAGAAAAGAGACCAGAAATGGACTCAAATTCATGTGGCCATTTATTATATGGTAATAGTAGCTTCTGAAACCAGTATGATAAGGTTAAATTCTAAGAAGTTGAATTGAGACAAGTAGATAGTAATGAAAACACAATATATAACTTACCCAAAAATTAATTGAAGGTCACATTGTGGCTCAAGTGGTAGGGTACCAGCCTAGAAAGCCCAAAGTTATTAATTCAAACCCCAATACCACAAAAATTCAATTTAATCAAAATAATTTAATAGGCGTTTTAGTTTATGGTTATTGACATACTATTTGGTTAAAGCCCAGTGGTCTGGTAGCTTGAAAAATCTGAACATCAAGACAGTCACTGGTGGCTAGTTATACTCAGAAGGCTGAAACCTAAGCATCATGGTTCAAAGGAGTAGGACATAAAAGTCCGTGAGACTCTTATCTTCAATTAACCAACAAAAAGAGCCAGATGTGGTGGTGTGGCTCAAGTGGTAGAATGCTAGCCATGAGTAAACAAGCTTAGGGATAGCTGCAGCCCTGAATTCAAGTCTCAGAATGGTAACCAAAAATAAGAAAGAAAGAGGGGGGGGGGGGGAAGGAGGGAAGCAGGGAAGGAAAGAGAGAGAGGAAGAAAGAGAGAAAGAGAAAGACAGAAAGAGAGAGAAAGAAAAGGGAAGGAAAGAAGGAAGGAAGGAAGGAGAAAAGAAAGAGTGAGCAAATAATACTAAAACAGCCTTGTCTGACTTTGAAACGCATCATTTGGTAGGACCTACCCAACAATTCACCATCCTAATTACATTTTACAAATTTCACTAGCAAAATTCCCTGTGATCTTGGTAAGTACTACTCACAGTCATGAAATAAAGCAAATTAGGAATGCAGATGAGGAAAATAAAGGGAAATGGAACACTGTCTTCTTTCAGAATAGAAGGCATGTCCATTCCAGTAGGCTGATTTGTTGAGTATGAATAGCTCTTCTCTCGATACAGGTCAGTATGTGCTAAATCGCACACCTCAAGGTCCATATCTGTCTTGTTTTCCCACTCCAAACCCCAGATTCCATGTTTAGAAAGACTTACATAAATTGTGCATAAAAGATAATAGTTACCTATTAGAAACACATAATTGCCTATGAAAAATGTTCCACACAAAAATAACTAAATTATTACAACACATATAATTCTGAATAAATGCAAAAAATGTTATACTCATTGGACCATGTTGTTTTAATATGCTTCAATGAATAATTGTTTTAAGCTCTTTAAAAATATTAGAAATAGCTCAGCACTTCCTGGGACCAGATTTGAGATTCTGAGGTCCCCAGGCAAGACATACCCTGTGGCTGCAGCATAAAGAACTCACTGGTCAGACTGCACAAGTATCTATATCCCACTCTCAAACCAAAGAAGCAGTAGCTCCCTGGGTCTATGGATTAAGGGTAAAATTTTCTGATCTTCAGCATAATGAATATGTGAAATATATTTTTCTATTCTTAGTCTACATTTCCTATAGAATCAAGTCTTAAAATTCAACATATAATATTGGGTACTTTACTGTGCCTCCAATTCCTCCTATAATAATAAACAATGATGATCTCAAGTGAGTGAGTCAATTTGTCTCAAACTCTTGGAATCATGCCTAGAAGACATGATACATTAACAAAATTAGCTACCCACCTGCAACATCTTAGCAAGAAGCACAGTTAAAGCCATTTCTCTGGAGCCAGTTGTCCAACATTATCTCCTGAGTAGTTATGGAATGCATCCTGTTACCATTTTCTTTGGACTAATTAGCTGAGGTACAAATGGAAATTACTTATTTTCATAACTTCAACTTTATTAGTGTTGAGTGATTTACATAACCCTGCAGCTAGGAGGTCCCAGAGCTACATTCCTTTCTTTGGCAAATTCATACATCTTCCTCCAAAGGCAGTATTTTTTCATCAGAACTTGTCTGAGTAATGACTTTGGGCTAGGCTGGGCAGGGAATGTTAATCACTTTTCCCACCCTCAGTACAAGGGTTTGAAGTCCTGGGAGCAGAGGAAGACAAGGCAGGGAGAATAAACCCACCCACACCTGGACAGCATAAGTCACAGGAGATTCAAGGTGTGTTTTTGTTTCGTTTTTTAATGGGAAAATAGTTTCTCCCAGTTAGACTCCAGAATCTAAAACCTCTCCATATCTATTTTCTTTTTTTTTTTTTCTTTTTTTGTTGGTCATGGGACTTGAACTCTGAGCCTGGGTGCTATCCCTCAGCTCTCTGGCTCAAGGCTAGTGCTCTACCACTTGAGCTACAGCACCACTTCCTGCATCTTTGTTTTCTGATACAAGAGGAATAATAAACACAATATCTAGAGAGAAGTAAATGAGAGAAAACAGAATACAGTCCCCAGTTTCAGTGGGCATTTATCTTCTTCCTGCTGTGTCTCTGTTTAACATTTGTACAGACCAAAGAGCAAGATGAACTGGGAAAAGATATCCCAAGTAAAGATAACCTAGAACACTCCAAATCATCTGCTTTTAGAGAAGAAAATGGAACAGCACCATGGGAAATGACAAGAGTAACATTTTCCTGGCTAAAAGCTTGAAAAATATACCTTTGCCAACTTCATCATCTTCGCTCACAATTTCCATCATTGTACTCCTTTCATTCAAAATGCACATTTAAATTAATTTCATAAAGTAGTCCCACTTTAACACTGCAAGTACACCAAACCCATTTTTCAACCAATAGTTAAAAGCAAGCCTTCTGTTTTTCCCATTGCTAAAATCAAGTGCCATTTCTCAGTGACTTTTACTTTGCATTATTTCACTGATAATCTATTGAGGGCTTGGGAAGTGTCAGGGAATTAACAACATTAATTCATGTAATTTGCACACCATCACAGGGAGGTGGAACTCTTGCTATCTCCACCTTACAGCTGAACAAACGAATGTTCCAAAAGAGTATAAATAACTTGCTCAAAGTTACAAAGCTAGTTAATCAAGTAGAAAACTGAAATTCAGGTTCAATTCTAAACCTCTTGGTTTAAACTCCTACACTATACTGCCTTTAAAACTTCTTAAATATGGCTTACCAAGAGGAATATGCTTAGTTTGTAAT